CCCTACCCTGCCTCCCCTTACCCGCCCCACGCACCGAACCACGTGATGTGCTTGTTCTCCCATACCACTGACTTCTTGCTGGGCCCCTCAGCAGCACCCCGGCATGGGGTCCTCCAGAAGGTATTCACGTGGGCACCCACGTGGAAGTCAGCCCGCCGCAGTAGACGCATCCCCCCAAAACTCTCCTTGGCTGGGCAGAGATTGTGGTCACTACCTGCCAGGGCCCCCACTCCTCCCACCCCAGGGGGAGGGCACCCTCACCTTCTGGCAGGTACATGTACACCATGAGGTTTCGGTCTCGGTCAGAGACTGGGGAGAACAGGCCAGAGATGGTCAGCCGGCCACCCCCGCAGAGCCCAGCCCGAGTCCCACCATGCCTGCCAAGTCCCGCTGCGCCTGCTCACCCAGGAAGCCCAACTGGGCGTTGTCCACCATGAAGTCCACGCTGTACACCTCCAGGGGCTTGGCATCCTGCAGAGGGGCAGGGAGGTCAGGTCAGCTTTCGCTAGCCCTGCCCAGACAGCCCTCCCCTGCCAGCCCTGGACAGGCCCCCCAGGTACCCGAGACACGAGGCTCAGGGTTTTGCTCTCCTCCTGGTAGCGCAGCAGTGAGATGCTCTTCATGACGTCTGCAGCCAAGATGAAGTTCTTCACACTGATCATCTGGTGGATGTAGAGCTGTGTGTCGATGAAGGCCATGCCCGTCAGCTCGCTGGCACGCAGGCTCCACAGGAAGATCTGGGGGGTGGGGGGAGCTGGCTCAGGGGGAGCAAGAGCGCAACTCCTGGGGGGGGGGGCTCAAGGGACCTGGTCCCCAGGGGTGCAGGGTGAATGGAGCCAACCTGGGGCAAGGAGCCCAGGGTGAGTGCAGGGGAGCCGGCTCTCAGGGGTGAAGGGAGCTGGGGGAGGCCACACCTTCTGACCGATGGCTGACACCAGATGGCCATTGCAGTGGCACAGGGCAGTCACTGGCCCCTTCTGTTCTTTCTCATACAAAACCTTGAACTTGTTCTTGGTCAAGGGCTGGCCAGGCTCGGGCACTACCTCAATCACGTCCATTATCAGGATCTGAAGGATTTGGGAGCCACAGCATGTAGGGACAGCACAGGGTCACGAGATGCCTCTCCCCTGCCCCCCACTTGCCCAGCCTTACCCGCCCTCGGCAAGTGACCTCCTCCCCCTGCATGAGGCAGGTGCCAGCAGCCACATAGCCCTTGAGGCCTGACACGGTCTCCTCGCTGCGCAGGGACACTGTCTTCATGCACGTCACATGCTCCCATTCCTCCAGCTCAATCCTGAGGTGGGAGACTTGTAAAGATGCACCCCACCACACACAGCCCAGGCCCACCCGTCCCAGGGCCAAGGCCCACCTGGCGTTGGGAATGGCCTCCCAGCTGACTGGAGAGATCAGCTGGATGGAGAAAGCTTCCTGCTGAGGGTGGATATAGCGGTCATCTGTGGGGAGAGGGTGAGGGGTGGTGGTCACGGGGAGCGGAGGTCAGGAAGGTGCCCTGATGGCTGCAGGTGGGACGCACCTCTTTCGATGGTCTCAAACTCCTTCTCTTCACCCGTCATGCGGGGGATGCGAGTACAGGGTGCATTGGTGCTTGTGGCAACTGCATATACCTGGGAATGGGGCCAGGCATCAGCAGCCAGGCAGGGCCAGGCCCAGAACCCGAGGTGAGGGGGGGGGTCAGACCTTGGACTCCACATGGTAGGCCACATAGTGGGCGGTGCAGCGCAGTGGGACCTTCCTGACTGGCCACGGGGCGTCGTAGGACAGGTAGGCAGGCAGGACGCTGATGCGCAGCTCACCCTGGGGCAACAGGGCAGCAGCATGAGTGGATGGTCCCAGGGCACCTGGAGGCCTGCCTTCTGCATTGGCTGTACTGTCGGCTGCTGCAGCCAGGGGACCGGGGCAGTGGGTGTTCAGAGCTGTGCAGAGCTCTCTCCTTGGGCTGTGGGTGCTGGGCACCAGGCAGGCGGCCAGCAGCTGGAGTATACTGGGGGCCCAGGCAAGGGGCCACACAGATGAGACTAAGAGGACTACATGAGGCCCAGACACTCCTACCCACATGGGGTGACACAGTGTGTGTGTGTCCCCCAGCCCCCCGTGAATACCCCCAGGTTGTAACTCAGCTCGTTTTCAAATGGCCCAAGTAGCAACTGTCCCATCTCAAATACAGATGAGGACACTGAGGCTCAGAGGATACATGACTGGTCCCCACACAGCTGGCTTCAAACCACCATGCTCTGGTTCCTCAAAGAGACTGCCAGACCTGGGCAAGAGTGACACTGGGCAGACAAGCCACCAGAGCCGTGACTGGATGCTGGTCCCAGGGGCAAGCCCACCCGGCAGCTCACCCTCCACCCCCAGCTCCTTTGGCAGAAGCCCCAGGTCCATGCCACTGTCCTTGGCCCCCAGCTGGCTCTGGGATTCAGGAAGGACTTTCATCCCAGCACCAGCCCAGGCAGCACTGGTGAGGGTAGACAGCGGCCCCTACCTACCTGTCTGTTGAAATACAGGAAGCCATGGGGACAGTTAACGTTGTGGAAGGGAGCAAAGGAATCAATGGGGCCATCGATGCCCATGGGGTGTAGCCGCAGGGCTCCCCGGCCAGTCACGAGGAGCCAGTGGGGCGAGGGGCCGCAGATGAACACCTAGGAGCAGGCAGTGTGAGGTGGCCAGCCGCTCGTCGCCCATGCCCTGGCACCCGAGGCCAGCCTGCCCTACCCCTGAGTAGCCATAAATGTCCTCGAAGTAGCGGAAACGTGCCACACGGGCCCGAGACACAGCCCCCTCCTCAGCACCACCTCCCTCAGCCTTCTTCTTGGATGGCTTCGGCCTTTTCTCCCGGAAGTTGATGTTGTGGGGGACCTGGGGGAGGGTGTGTGAGGCCTTGCCCCCCTGCCCCCCCCCCCGCCCTGACCCCGTCCCACCCCCCAGTCCCAGGCAGGAACACATCACCAGCACCTTCTTGAAACGGACTTTGAGGTTGCCCTGGCCGAGCTGGGAGTCGTGGGGGAAGGCCTCATAGATGAGCAGCTCCTGGTCCACGTGCACCTAAGGGGAGCAGTGTAGGGCCGTCGGTGCGGTAAATGGGGGGGCAGCAGTGTGGGACTGTGAGGGGGCAGCAGGGGGGCCCCCGCCCTCACCAGCAGGTAGGGCCGGCTCTGACGGCTGCCCAGTGCCACCAGCAGCACCTCCTTGACCAGGGGTAGCTCGCCCTGGCGTGTGACTTCCTCCTTGCGGGCCTCGCCCTGAGGGGTGGGCTGTCCGAAGGAGCTGTCCACCAGCACCCTCTGCCCCACAGGAAAGTTCTTCACCAACAGCACCAGCCGCCAGTCAGGGAGCTGATAGATCTAGAGAGGAGCAGGGTGGCAGTGGTCAGCCAGCACAGGTGGGGGTGGGACCAGGCTGGGTCTTGCAGGACAGGGTCCACCCACCTCCATGGCTCCATTCTCCCGCACCAGCAGGCACCAGTGGGTGGGCTCAGCACGGAAGGGCACAGGCTCTCGGTCAGCGGGGGGCTGGCTGCCCCTCCGGGCCTCCTCCTTGCTGGGGCTAAAGAGGGAGCTCGAGTCCCCGTACAACATCTCCTCTTCGTCATCCACTGTGGGACTAAACCAGGTGGCATGTCACAGGGTTGTCACAGGGCCAAGCCCCAAGACCCCCTGCGTCCCCCCCCACACACACACACCTGGTTTCCGAGCCCAGGCCCTCAGCCTCTGAGCCACTCCGGGCTCCCAACTCATCACGGGCCCCACCCAGGCGACTCTCTGTGGTGAACATGCCACTGACATCACGGTACACACACAGTGTGATCACCTTGGACTGCTGTGGGGAGACACAAAGGCTCAGCACGGCAGGGTGAGGGGACAACAGGGTGGGGACAGCAGGGTGAGGTGCGCTAGACCAGGCCTACATGGTGCAGCGGGGGCTTGTGGAGCGCCAGGCGGTGGTGACGGCCCCCGTAGGAGTCACTCTTGAGCAAGAACATGGTGACATGGCCCTCGGCACTCATGAT